TCTGCATCTTTTAAATATTATTCTTTAAATCCACACATCTCTCCTAAAAACAAGTTCTCTAACACAAATATCCAATCAATGTTCGCACTGCCAACTGTCTTTTATTATTATCCAGGGTTTTCTTTTCTTGTTTCATTTTTGCCAAGCCAGTACCTAACCAAGATTCACAAACTGCAATGGTTGACGTCCTTAAGTCTTAGTGAGTGTTTTTCCTAACTGTTTTTAAAGATATCACATTGTTTAGTTTCCCAGTCTCTATTTTGATGATTGTATCCCAATGATGGTAGTTAACATATTCTGCAAATATCTTCTGTAATTTCTAACAAATTGATCACTGGATCTACAAGCTTGATCAAATTTAATCTTCCAAAGTGAAGGTTCATTCTCTCTGGAAAGACTGACATTTGTGCCTCCCAGAAAGCTAATCGCGAGGTTAGCAGGCTGCCATCTCTTTAACCTTAATTAATGGGCTGACCACATCTTTGTTTTACTACCCAGAGTTATGTGGCTTGGGCTGATAACTTGGGTGGGGCAGTAAAGATTCCATGTCACTTAGTCTTGTCTGTTTTGCTGGTCTCTTGCTCTCTCAGTGCCAAGGCACTATTCCTCATAGTCTTCTGGGAGAGAGAGAAGGGCAAAACTTATTTGACTTACCCTCATTCCCTCAACATTGAAGCCCTTTAGGATGTTAGCTTTACGGGGTCACTTTCAGTGCTAAAAGCCCAGTCTGCTAGCCTTTGTGTTCTTCGTCTCAGTACCAAAAACTAAAGGCAAGAAAGGAACAGAGGTGCTCCTCTGGCAAAAGTGCCTCCAAGTTCCACTCAGACTTTTGGCACAAACCTCTACTAACTTAGCAACATAATGCTTTTAGAGCATTTTTAATATTTTCACCCAGAATTTTTAGTTTCCCCAGCTCTCCCAGTGGAAGTTACCAATGTGAGTAAGTAATAAAACACTCACATCAGATACATATGGCAATAGTTACTAACTGAAAACCCATTTCATCAGCCACGTTAGTAACTAAGGGCACTTAAATACTTAAAAACACAGACAACTGTGATTTCCTTTTTCTTTTATCCCTAGTATATGGAAGTCATCAACAAGGATCTGATAAAGGAATGCATTAAGAACTAATTTTTAAAAGGAAAAGAACTTCACATTCTTTGTACACCATGATACATGATGTGGCAGAACCTTCTATTCATTCTTCTAGTATCCATTCCCTTTCCTCCAAGAGAACATCCACATCTTAGCTGCACATCTGGCAGTCTCAAATCTGTCCTAGCCTCTCTTGTAGTTCGATGTGACCATCTAACAGCTAAGTTCTGGCCAACAGAACATAAGCTGAAATGCCCTATGGAAGCTTCCGAAAATGAGTGGTCTTTAAAACCACTGGGTCTTACTGTCATCTCCATTTTTTTTTTTTTTTTTTTTTTTTTGTTTGTTTCCTTCAAGAGAATGGAGATGTGACTGTTAGAGCTTTAGCCACCTATCTTGGCCTTCAAAAATGAGTGTCACACCCTAAATATGGCAGACTAGTAAGTTAAAAGGATCCTGGGTCCCCAAAAACTTCATAGAGAGGAGCATTCCTATCAGTCATGGATTTACCTCTGGGGTAATAGAGAAATAAACCTTTGCCAATGGTATCTGGGTTTTCCCCAAATACCAGGTTTCTTTGGATAAAGGAGGAAGCCAACCTTACAGATGGCAGGTATTCATAAACACATACTGTGTAGCCACATGTCTCTCAGGAGGGGCTACTACTTATTTTTAAGTAACTATTCTTCCTCTTATGATAGCTGTAGCTGCTCTATAGGAGTCTGAGAACCTAGGCTGGAATTGCATCTCTGCCACTAAGTTGCAAACCTGCTGATTTCCCTATTTTACATATATTTTAGCCATTACATTTAGATAGTACCATCTATGTAATAAGATTCTACTGAGATTTTCTTTTTTTCTTTTTGCGGAACCAGGGATTGAACTCAGGCCCTTGCGCTTGCCAGGGAAGCTCTTATTCTACTGAGCCATCTCCCCAGCCCCTCTCTTGAGATTTAAAGTAGAACATTTTGTACTAATAGTGTTTGGACAGGCTATCATGTCTGCATCTTATACTATGAATACCTACTACGAAGACAACAATATGCAATGTATTAATTAATGAAACTATCCTACTAATTGGTTTTAGAACTGTCTCATTGCTATTTGTTTCTCAATAAAATTAATTTAAAAAAGTAGAACATATATGAAACTATTCCATATATGTGAGAACAATTATAGTATAAGATACCTATGGAGAGAAGCTGTCTTATACTGTGTCCTCAGTTATAAGAGTTCAATAAATATTTACTGAATAAATAAGTTCTTGCTAAATGTAGTGAATTATTCTGCTTTTTTGAGCTAAATAAGATCCTTAATATTATTTAAGGAATTATTCAGGGCCAAGGATATAGATCAGAGGCATAGCACCTGCCTGGCAAGTGTGAAGACCTAGGTTCAACTTCTGGTATTAAAAAAAAAAAAAAAAAAAAAAAAAAAAGGAATTACTCAAGTCCCTAAAGACTAAACTGTTAATCTTGAGGTTAGTCAAAAGACACAGGCTACGAAGAAAGAAGCCCTAGCCAATCCACTTACCTAGTTCAAAAGTCAATCAGCATTTACTACATCAAAATAAATAAGAAGAAAAGTTGTGGCATGGAAACGAAACTTTTATGATCCTTTTCCCCTCAATTACAAAGTCACATACAAAAATATTCTTTAATGTTTAAACCACCATACCTACTATAACAAACAGGATTTCCTTACACTGGACTGTGACTAAAGTATTTTATTAAATTAAATGTATGATCTGCAAATGGCTTCATAGGAAATTTTAAAAGCAAAATTATAAACATTTTCAATAAAAAAGTACAAGAATTAACAGCAAAATTACATTTTCTTTACAATACAAATAGAAACATTTTGTTTCTGACATATGATCTAAAAACTTTATAATATATTCTCTAATAGCTGCAATGTTACATTTAAGCCTCAAGGTTAATTTAATTATTTATTATCAACAGGTTCATCATTTGGACAATAAAAGTCAACTGTTCAACTTTAAGGAAAATAATAAACTTTGTCATCATACAGCATGAAGTTATAAAAGGCTCTTCAGGATGCAGGTGTCTCCTAGATGTATTTCTCTATTAAATTCTGAAAAGAGGCATTAAGTAATACTGTAAACGAGTTACCTTTTTAAAATAAGCACCATTAATAAACATTCTATATAAATTTACTTTACCTTTTAAATGACACTCTTTTGGCCACACAAACATTTAAATCTCTTTATATGTAAATAAATATAAGCAGTATATTACCACTACACAGAAATATCAAACTTTACCTCATTGCTAAACAAGAAGCATGTAGAAAAAACATTTGGAAAAAAAGTACAAATTATTGTTTGTCATTTTTACACATATTGTCATTTTCTTAATATGAGAACAGTTAAAACATTGCCAGAACAATTTCCTGAGTTTCAAGTTTCCAACTTCCAGCTCAGAACAGGTAATATTATGAAATGGGTCCTTTCTTGAAGCATACAAAACACTTGAATTTTAAAACGAAAGAGACGAAAATAGAGAGCTAGGAAACTATCTTAAAGAATTGTGAGCTTTTTTCTTAAAGTACAATACACAAACCATTTTAGTCATGATTCCTACTATATAGTACATATGGTATGCAAAAAACCAGAGAATGTGGAAATGCTAATAAATGGAAACTTCAACTTGAAGATAACATGGAAAGATGTGAACATTCAATAAATGTACGAGAAGAGAACATGCTTCTATTTCTCACACTGGAATAAGGAGATAGATGGACTGAAAACACTTAGAAAGTGCTCCTGACTCAGCTACATCACTCTGGGGTTTCCACATTTGTTCTTTTTCCCTCTGGTAGATACTAGTAAGAGACTAGTCAGTGGATGTAACTGGTAGTAAAATCTTCCAAACAACAGAAGTTCTGTACTTTTAAAATACTATGTTTACCAGGAGCTATTCTAATGAGTCACACATATTGGTGCAAATACACCAATACGTGAAAATTTGTAAAGTCTCCAAACTCACTGCCTCTTGTACACAGGATTTGGATATGGGCAAAAGAAGAAATGAAAGATTCTAAATCTTTCATAACTATGTGCTGTTTAAACTATACTAGATAGTCGGGTCTGAGGCAGGTTAGGATTAAACAACTTCATTAGAATATATGATACTCAAACTTTGCTTATATATTTATGAACACCAGATTAATCAAAACAAGACATAAACTTGAGTTTGATACAGTATAAAGCAGCTTTTTTTACTTAGTTTCTGCCCACAGAATATCATACCTCTATTTTATTTTGACTGTCCTCTATTAATCATAATCGTAATACTGAAGCCTAGCTGAAGTACTCAAAAACAGTATTTTTAAGCCATCTAAGAAATATAAGACATAAAATGAGTATGCTGCTGCACACACTCCAATAACTCCAGGTTTTAGTATTTTTTCATATATTTTAAATCATTAATTTACACATAGAAATCTTACTTCATTAACAATTATAATTTTGTAATAAGTTGCTGAAAGTGACTATTATTTTTAATGTGTACTTTAAAAGATTAAAAAGTGTGCTAAACTACGGCCTGTTTTTAATAAATTATTATGAACAAAAAATTTAAGTACTAATTCAATACTAGTAATTAGCCATTTCTAAATAATAAACATATATTCTTATTTTTGTGAAGATAAAATTCAGTAAGACTCCTTTTAAAAGCATGTGTTAATATATAAAAACATGAGTTTTTGAGTTTTGTTTTCATTAATCTTGGTTTGCACTTTTGGGAAATCAACTGTATTTCAGAAATTCTTTCAGTAACAGTTCAATCAATTCTATCATTTCCAATGCAAGTAATATGTTTTTTGAGACAGGGTCTCACTATGTACTTCAGACTAGCCTTGAATTCACTATGTAGCCCAGGCTGGCCTTGAATTCACAGCAATCCTCGAACTCACAAATAATTTTTTAAACTAAAGAAAAAGCAATAAAAGTCCTTTCCTTGAAGCTGCATATGTTGTAAATATCTATATATCCAAAATAAAATTTAATTTAGCCATTCTCTCATACTGAAAAACTACTCTTTCCCACATTAAATTTATGTAAAGGAAATTATAATTTAAATATTAACCAGATTTTATTAGCTAACAGACCAATAAAAGTCAATGAAAATTTCCTTTTAGAAAGTTCACTCTTTTTCAAAATAAAAGTAAAAATGTTTTATTAATTTGTAGAGATTCCTCTTATATCAATATTTTCTAATTTGTTTAATAGGAATTTGATCTACAATTTAGAAATCAATGCCTTACATATATCATTGTTCAGCACTGCCTGAAAAGTCCCTTACATAGTTCTAGGTAAGTCAGCAGCACATACTTCATATTTCATCATTTCTTCTCTGAAAACTTCTCTGTCTATGAAAGGCATAAACTCTGCAAGACAATCACAGACCCAACTTTCCTCAAGAAAAATACACTGAGACAAAAGAATAAAACAAAAAGAGATTAAGATTACATAAAAAAGAGAAAATGCAACAGTGTATCTCCCTTTCTGCAGCATATGGCAAGATGATAGGATTTCATGTGTTTAACTATTAAAGCAAAAAAGTACTTCAAGTGTTTTTTGTTAGATCACCCATTTTTCTTTAATTCTATTACCTTTAGAATGTAGCCCTTAGAAGGGCACAAACACCCACAGAAGCCTTGTGACTTCACTTAAAGTAAAAAAAGAAAAAAACTAATACAAAATAGTCTTTCTCTCTGAGAATCAGAGCGTTTCAAACTTATAATTACAGCTGATAATTTTCTTACTCTGTAATCAATAAAAATTCTCTTTAATATTCTTAACAGTTAACATTATGTGGGTTTGATTCAGTAAAAAATTAAACTTCTCTTGAATTTGAGAAAGACTTTGACTTATAAATGGATATTATTTCTAGTAAAACATGTTTAGAATAGAACTGAATGAATTATTGCAAATAAAACTAATCTTAACCTACAAACCTCCACACTTTCAAGTCAAGGGCATTTATTTCACTTTAGCATGACTTTCAAGCACCCTGGTTTAATTTCAGAGAACCTGTAGAAATAAGAAAAAGAGTTGTTTTAAAGATAACAATTTTCAGGTTAACTAAGAAGTATTCTTTTAATGGACTCTAAGCATCTATGTTTAAAATAACATTTACTATCAAGTACTCTTATTTATTAATATCTAGGACCATTTCTATCATGTCCCTTTGCTTAAGTGTCAGGTCATGTGTAAGCCCAAGGTTCAGGGTTACTCCTAACTAGGAATCACTAACACTGCAAGACTCTTCAAACCTCTCTTGTCTGACTCTATCATAGAGCTGCTTGAGGTATGAAGGACAAGACTGTGTCTGCACTACACTGTTTCTGTGCATGGAGAAAGCACCAAGAAAAACCCCTGATACTGAAAGCAAGTATGAGCATTCTGGCTTTGCAATACTTTCAGCTCCCTTGGGGTAAAAGCCAAGGAACACTACTCTTAAATAGATCATTAATCTCAATATGATAATGTTCTGGTATAACTACTACTCCTACAAAAATATCCCAAAAATGCCATCTGTTTTTATGCTCAAATTAATGCTACCACTTTCTATAATGTAGGCAAGTAACATTTTGTTACATGGCATAAACAAAGTTGTAAAAACAAAATAGTCCACCCTAACTGAAATTAGACTAGGAATTTAAGGATACACAGAGAACCTATTAATCAGTAGATCTTTAATCTTGGATTTTTCTTATAATTTTGTTACTGAATAACATAATGGAAAAGGACATTTCATGTCTATAACAAAAGATCATTAATGGCATTTAACTTAAAAAGTTAAAGTCATAAATTCATATTTGTTGAAGTGTTTTGACTAAAGTATAAACACATTAAACTATAGCTATCTTTCAGGAAAAGTCCCTCAATTCCACTCATTTTTTTTCTTTCAAGAGTTAAATAGCAAATCTTAAATTATATTTAATCTATTTTATAATATGTATATCAAAAGAACAAATATATTTAAATTTTTTATAATTTTAAAGTTAATGATAGAGTTTCATTCAATGATGATTGATAACCACCATTTCCTATTTCTGGTTTACTACACAGCATACATCTAGCTGGAAAAAGTTATGTCATATTTTAAACATGAACTTGTGGCTGAAATCAGATGGCTAAATTCAGTTAGCTACTTTGACAAGCAGTTCCAAGCATGCTGTTAGTGTCTACATAGCCATAGATAGGCAGTTGTCTTTCTTGACACTAGAAATCTATACTCACCTGAAACCATGGCTTGTGAGGTATTTAATGACAGCTGGCTTGATGCGAGCAACTCCTCCCTGGCTGTGGTTTCCTCTCCCCGTAATCACAAAAAGATAGGGCTTACCGCCATTCTGCTTAAGCTCTGTTATAGGAATTGCGACAGTTAACATCACTCGTTACGTTCTCAACAGAAAACATACCTTAATACTCATATTTGTATAAAATTGGTTCTATGAACATTTAGAGCTTTATTATCTCAAAGGCCCCCAAATTAATGTTTTCAAATGTATATTTTAAAATGCACATAGCCTTACAGCAATCTATCTAAAGACTTCCATGGGAAACTCCCCATTGTGAGAAAGGAGAATTCCACATGGTACTAGAAATTCTCTATACAGTGATAATAACAATAATATCAGTAACACCTAACAATTATATACCATGGACACAGTCACAGCTTTAAATGGATTATATTGTTAAGAAATATAAAATCTTCACAACCCTGTTAATTAAATATTTTGAAGCCAGCCAGCTTTAGTCTAAGTCACAGCTTTGCCATTAAATGACCGTGACCATAAACAAGGTGAACTTCTTGGTGCCTGTTTCCTCATAAAGAAAATGGGATACTGGCCACACACACACACACACACACACACACTCTCTCTCTCTCTCTCTCTCTCTCTCTCTCTCTAAAGGAATAAATAAATAAATAATTTAAAAAAAATTTAAAAAAAAAAAGAAAATGGGATAACAGCAGCAATTCCTTAATAGTCCATCCCCTCAGAAATGGCTGTCGACAAATTGAGTAATTAAAGAATAAAGTGTAGTCCCATTATTGAAGATGATTAATTGTTAGCTGAAGAAATGCCTCCTAATAGAGAATTCTTAAGTCTGAATGAGCCTGAGCTTCTTGGAAGACTACAATTCTTACATTGGATATGACCTTGGGAAAGCTGGTAGATAGATTCTGACTTTATTAACAGCTATAATGAATAACAATAATATCAGGCCGGGCATCATGGCTTATATCTGTGATCCCAGCTCTTGAGAGTTTGAGACAGGAGGATCACTGCAAGCCTGAGGCCAGCCTGGGCTACAACTTAAGTTCAAGGCCAGCCTGAACTGCACAGCAAAAGCCTGTCTCAAAAATACATGCACACGCACACACACACACACACACACACATCAGGAACTACAAACTTCATGATAAAATGTTGACTTAATGAATTTAATGGTTGTTCCCCATTCATAAGTCGTCTGTTTGACTCTTTAGTACAAAATTTGCACCCATGAAACATAAGCACTCCATACTTTTCTCATTCAGTTACTCTAACATTTCAGCAGAATCATAATCAGGTGGTTTTTCAAGTCTTGTTTTTTCTAGGGCAATATTTAGCTTGGAATTTTAAAAAACTGTGCTTTTCCATTTCTAAATTCTTTATTTTTGCTTAAGATCTCCGTTTCTACTCTAATCCACATCCACTACTTCTGGCATGTTGTGGTATGTGTCTAGAAGTGTGCCCAAAGCCTAATGCAGTAGTAATGACAACAGTGACAGCATTAGTAACACCTAAGGTAGTCATGCAGTTTTGTCCGGAGGTGGCTGAATTTAGAGTATGTGACTAGTACAATGCTGGGATTAAGGGTGCTGGGATAAAGGGAGGGTACTTGCTGAATCAGTCTGCTGATTGGACTGGCACTGCCCTAATCCTCGTAGAATGAATACAATATAAGGGACAGAAGGAGACTTATCTCACTCACTCCTATTGCTTCCACTGTCTTCTGCTGCCATGAATGGTTGCCCCTTTGCCATGCGATACCCTTCCTTGGAGCCAGCAGGTTATGGACTGAAACCTTGACAAACTGTGAACTAAATAAACCTTTCCTCCTTTAATTTGAGGTGTTGGTATTTTGTCCCAGCAATGCAAGAGAAGTAACTAACACATAGCTCTAGGGTGTTACCCACTCTAGAGTGTCCACTTTGTAAAAGGGTTTGAACTATAAACTTACAAACTATGCTTTACTGTAAGAAAATGTAATTATAATTTACCGCATCACTCCTTTACTATTGCTCCTTTATCAATAAAGTCCATCACTTACACCATCTGACTCTCCGTAGTTCATTTGCAGTACTCCAGGTGATTCTCTACGTGGTTCACATGCCTCAAATATGGCAGGAGTTCAAAGAATGTTTGTTGCATAGGTTAATGGGTATTTAGTTTCTCAAATTACAGCTATGCTTACTATTCATGACTAATGAAACACTATAACTCATTTTTAAGACTACTCCAGACTGCTTACTATATAAACCACAAATATTTCAGTATGTATCTCAAAGGAGACTCTTAAAAAACATAAAACACAAACCATGTGGACTGGTGAATACCTACAGTCCTAGCACTTGGGGGGCTGATGCAGGAGAATCACTTGAGCCTAGAATTCAAGACTAGTCTGGGCAACACAATAAACACATATCTCAAACCCCCCACCCCCCAAAAAACAGAACAAAATAAAAATATCACTACCTTACAAAAGTAATGATTTCTTAATATCATCAGTTTTTAAAACTTTGCAATTATCTAAAAAAAATTAAGCTGAGAGTTGCGGCATACACTTGTAATCTCAGGACTTGGGGGGCTGACGCAGGAGGACTACCACAAGTTCAAAGCCAGCTTGGGCTGCATAGTGAATTCAAAGCCATCCCTGAACTACACAGCAAGATCTTGTCTCAAAAAACTAAGTGGGGGAAAAAAAAAAAAAAAGCCAGGTAGATAGCCTGGTAGAATAAGCAATTGTCTGGCAAGGTCCTGAGTTCAATCCCTGGTACTGGGGGGGAAAAAAAAACCTAAGATAAAAATAAATTTTAAAAATTCAGTGATTTGTTTGAATCAAGACTGAAACAAGATCCATATCCATACTGCATTTTGACTGGTATATTTGTTAACTTTTTAACCTAAGAGTTTTCTTTCCCCTTGTGTTTTTCTTACAAATTTACTGGGGGAAAAAAAAATCAGTCTCGGGTAACAGATTTGGGATACCTCCTGCCTCTCAGGAGCTATTCTTATTCCCCATTCCTCTTTTCCAATAAAATTTTCCACTCTTAAAAAAAAAAAAGCAAAGATCAGCCTGGATTTCCTGACCATATTCCTATGGTGTTGTTTAACATGTTCCTCTGTCCCTTGTAATTTTCTGATATAGTAGGTCAGATGTAAAGGCTTAATCAACTTCGAGTTTGACTTTGCCCACAAAAATACACTGTAGGTACACAAATTTCATTTCCTTATTCATCTCCAATTTTGAAAATCCTTTTAAATTATGACTAAAAGCAACAAAGGGCAGATCCACAGATTTTTCTCTGAAAAGATCTTTATTCATCAACAGCACCATCTGGTGGTAATGGACAGTAACTACAGGCTATGTCCAGTGATCATGGAAGATATGGGCTTTGGCTTCCATAAACTAGTCATGTGGGGTAGGGGCTATATAGCTCAGCTGCACAGTGCCTGCAAGGCAAGCACAAGGTCCTGAGCTCTATCCATGCTACCAAAAAGAAAATGAAAAAAAAAAAAAAAAAACCAAACTGTCCTGGATCTGAACAAGTATCATCTAGGCTATGTTATTGAAGTCTATTTTTTTCTTACATTTTTTTTTTTTTTGTAATGTTCATATAACTCACCACTTTTTAAATGTACAATACAATGGTGTTCAGTTTATTAACAATTTCATACAACCACCACTGTTGGTTCAGGACATTTCCTTACTCTTAAAGAATTCTGGGCTGGAGATATAGTTCAGTGGCACAAGTGCCTGCCTGGCAAGCACAAGGTCAAGTCTATTAGTTGTCATTTCAAATACCCCACTTTCTAGTCCCAGCAACCAGAAACCTGTTTTCTATGGATTTACCTACCTGGAACATTTCACATAAATGGCTGTCTGTATCTGACCTTTTCATTTAGCATGTTACAAGGTTCAACCATGTTATAGCATGTATCAATATTTCATCTTCTTTATGGTCAAAAAAATTCCATTATGGATCTATTTGTTTTTACACACATATGCACATGTGCACACACACATATGAGAATATTATTCTGTGATTTAAAAACAAGAGAAATACTATTATTTGCAAAAACGTGGATGAGCCTCTGTGGCATTATGCTACTTGAAATAAGGCAGATAGAAAAGAAGTACTGAAAGACCTCACTTACATGTGGACTCTGAAAGCTAGACACATGGAAAGAGTGGTTGTTTCCAGGAGACGGGGGGGGGGGGGCATGTGTTGGTCAAAAGGTACCAACTTTCAGGTATAAGAATACATTTTGGGGGCCAGGCATGGTGGTACATACCTGTAATCCTAGCCCTCAGGAGACTGGAGAGGCAGGATGATCACTCTGAGTGTGAGGCTAGCCTACATTACATGGTGAGACTTTGTTCCTCCACAAAAGAATAAGCTGTAGGACTGGGGAGATATAACGCAGTGGTAAAATTCATGGCCAGTATGTGCAAGGCTCTGTCTGGAATTAATACATGGTAAAACCATTAGGCAAAACGTTGTAGGGGAAGGAACATTGTTTAAAAATCCACAAAGTATACACTACCAAAAAAGATTAATTAAAAAGAAAAAAGGTACTCTGTGTTGCACACATGTGTGTTTGTGTGTGCATGCAAGCAAAAAGAGACAGAGAGACTAAGGTCTGACCACAGAGCCTTCATGCTGAGCTATATCCTAAAATCTTTTATTTTTTTAAGACAAGATCTTGCTAAATCACTAAATTGCTCAGGCTGTGTTGAAACTTGCTCCTGCCTCAGCCTCCTAAAGTGCTGGGATTATAGGTGTACACCATAATACATTGCTGAGAAAGGTACATTTTCAAAGAAAATCTGATGAAGTTCTACTGAAATTAAAGAATTAAACTTGACTGAGTGTAGTGGCACATGCTTGTAATTCCAGTACTCAGGAGCTGAGGCAGGAGGATTGCTGCAAGTTTGAGGCCAGCCTGAACTGCATAGTGAAACCCTGCCTCAAAAAAAACAAAAAAAAACAAAAAAAACAAAAAAAAAAAACACTAGGACAAATGACTATGTCTCTTGATGTGTTGACCAAAGATAATTTAGAATCTCCTAGATAAAATTTTAACACAACCCCCCCAAAAAAGATTTGTCTAATCATGAGGAAATAATCAGATAAATTAAAATGTAGAGCAATCTGCCAAAAAGCTGACCAGGGGCCTTCAAACTGTCAATGACATGAAGACAAAAAACAAAGGGAAATCTGTATTAAAGCAAGCTATACAGACATAGGATACCAAAGGAAAATATTTGATGCTTGACTAGATCCTGGATGGAGCAGTGGGGAGACACAGCTACTCAGGACATTATCCATACAAGTGGAAAAATCTGTATATGGCCTGTACACCAGACATTACTATTGAATGAATATGCAATACCTTAAAAGTGATAAGGGTATTATGGTCACACAACAGAATGAACTTGTCCCCAGTGTCAGGGCTTCATGCAAGCTAGTCAGGCACTCTACCATTGAACTACATCTACAGACTGAATCTGTTATTTGTTGGTTGGTTAGTTTTTGTTTTTCAGACAAGATTTCTTTATGTACCCCAGGCAGCTTCAGCCTTGCAAGTCCTGGGATTGCAAGCATATGCCACCACTTTTGGCTCCAAATTTGTTGAGATACACACATGGAGGTATCTAAAGCAACAAATCTATAATTTATTTTCAAATAATTCAGCAAAAGTAAGTTTTAGAGAGATTAAATAAATGTGGCCAAATGTTAACAATCAATCTACAGAGAGAATACATGAGTATCCTCATTGTATGACTCTTCTAATTTTTCTGTCAGTTATTTTTTTATTATAAAAATGTTACGAAAAAAGGTAGTGACAAAAGTACATGTGCTGATAAGCAAAATAAAGTTCACTGTATGTTCTAAGTGGCCATCAATATAGGAGCAAAAAATTATAGTTACACAGTGCTAAAAGCAATTATAATGGAAAATCAGATCCATCATGATCTTGAAAATTCTACTTTGTGAAAATAAGTGGCTTGGCTGATGCTCTAATATGACATCATATACATTCATTTTCTTAAATTCACAAAAGGAATACTGCATGCTAAATATGAATTACATGCACATATAACGAAAATGGGCAGGAAGATATAGACCAAATTGCAAAATGTTGATTTCAATAGAAAGGGAAGGAAGATGCCTAGAATGAACAAGGGCTACAGGTTGTATCTTCTGATGAGACAGAGAGGGGGAGCAGAGAGACAAGAGAGACAGAGACAGAGAAACTGAGAGAGAGACAGAGAGAGAGAGACATGGAGAGAAAGAAAAAAAAGACTGGGGAAGAATACAAGAGGAAAAATAAAAAACTTAAAAACATGACAAAATGTTATAACTTGTTATTTGGATTCTTGAATTCACTGGTATAGATGTTTATTTTGTAATTTTTCAAAATGTTTGCAATATGTCATAGCAAACATAAAATTTCTACCTAGGGCCAGCCAGATAACTCAGCGGATTAAAGCACCTGCTTAGGCAAATACAGGGGCCAGAGGTTCAATTCCAGCCTAGTGTGCCAGCCCCGAACAATAAGGGCCAGCCAGATAGCTCAGTGAACTAAAGTGCCTGCTTACACAGAGTGCAGCAACCAGGGTTTAATCCCTGACACACAGTGGCAGCCCTGCTCCCGGGGTGCGCTGAAAGGGCGATTATGGTAGCATGCACCTGTAATCCCAGCTTTTGGGAGGCTGAAAACAGGAGGGTCACTACGAGTCTGATCTGTGTAGTGAGACCCTGTAGACCCTGTCCTAAAATACAGAAAAAAGAAGAGGAGGAAGGAGGGGGGAGGAACTGAAAAACAAAATAAAGAAAAATAAAAAAAAAAAACCCACAGCCTTCCCACACCCCTGCCCACCACCAAAAAAAAAAAAAAAAATCAATGAAGAGAAATGCGTGTTAAAAAAAAGAAAATGCAAGAACAAAGAGAAAGCCAAGTGGAGAATTCAAAATAGCAATGATGAAAAGACATGACTTTAAGTACTAGAGCCTGAGGTAAATAAAACAGATTGGACTTTGCTAATAAGTGCTACCATCCAATAATAAAAAGGAAAGGAGACATGGCAAGACACTTTAGTATATGAGAACTCATGATACTGGATAGAGGCACTGAAAAAGACCTTCAGCCTGAGCCCTTGGATGAGGCTCTGGAAGGAAGAGGCCACACTATGTACAGTAAGAAAGCATGTCCTCCATGACAACTTTGCAAAAATTTTAGTACCTCCTTTATTTTATTAAATACTGTCTAAATAATTTATAGCCAATAAATATATATAAGTGTAATAAATATACACTGAATAAGGATATATCTTTATCCTTGTATTATAATGCAAGTGGCTCTTAACTAAATACAACAAAGAAATACACACTACTAAAAGAAGGACACAGGGCTGGGGAGATGGTTCAATGGAATAAGTGTTTCCCTGGCAAGCGCAATGGCCTGAGTTCAATCCCTGGTTCTGCCGAAATAAATAAACAAATAAAAATAAAAAATAAAACAAGGACATAAAAGAGAAGGAATTGTTAACAGCTGTAAATGAGAGTTCTCGGGGACCTGCCCCTTAGAGCTCAGTTCTTTAAGTGGCTGCTTCAAAAAAGCAGTCAGTCTCAGGTTGCTGTGGTTCAATCCCCACAACTCAAGCAAGCCAAACCTGCCCTGAAGACATTCGGAGGGAAAAAAAAGAGAGTTCTCTGCCAAGAAGTTTCTCTTGAAAAATGGCTAATGAAACTGTCTACACATGAGGCAGCTAACCTGAGCCTGCACATGCAGATGCTCTTGAATTTGCAAGTCATATCCACACTGCCAAAAGAAAAAGTGTCATCATTATACTCCTACCTTCAGTTTTCTGCTGTAAAACTGTCATCAAATGTTTTATAGCTTCATCCACATGCAGCCCGTGGAGGTCCAGCACATTCTGTGGCAGCAAGGAAGCATTGACTTGCTCAAAGATCTCCATTGCAGCAAGGTGATTGGCTTCTTTCACCTTCCGCTCATGAAGACCACCCTTAATAATTATAAACCAATCATCAATGGACTCTTGATATTTTCTACTCAGACAATGAAGAAACTAATAGCAACCCAAATAAAAGTCAAAGCAATAACTCTAAAATCTTAATGTATTAGGTTAAGAAACAAGGATGCAGGGCTGGCCCAATAGCTCAGCAGACTGAAGTGCCTGCTTAGGCAGAGTGCAGCAGCTGGGTTCGATCCCTGGTGTGCCGTGCCAGCCCCGCCCCCGGGGCACGCTGAGACAGGTGATTGAGACTGGGCGTGGTGGCGCACCTGTAATCCCAGCACTTGGGAGGCTGAAAACAGGAGAATCACTATGAGTCGGATCTATATAGTGAGACCCTGTAGACCCTGTCCTAAATACAAAAAAAAAAAAAAAAAAAAAAGAAAAAGAAAAAAGGTTTTAAGAAATAAGGATGCACTAAAAATATTTCAGTGAATTAATCTAGTTCTTAAACTGTTGTTTATTATATTGCTCAGCTTTTATTCCATGTCGTTTTAAGACTCATCTATGTTGTTACATACTGAAAGTCAGTAGTTCTTTTTATTTCTAATATTTCATAGTACAGATGTAGCACAAATTGTTCATCTATTTTCCCTTGTCTATTTAAATTGTTTCTGGTGCTTCACATTTTTATTGGCATATGTTTGTGACATGTGAAATTTACATTCATTTTGGGGATTAGTAAATAAATATAACATATCTTAATAATTTTTAATCCTCTCTCCCATTTTCCCTTCCCTGGAGCAGAGGGAATAAATCACTGTTTCTAGCATATTTTCTGAAACAAAAATCATAAAAGGATGAAACAACTAAATATTATCTATCTGAAGACAGAACCCAGTGGTTTACTGCCTGATGAGAAGCACATGCTTGATAAACCTGGGTCTCAGCATGATGTTCCGTTTCAACATCTTGCAGTTAATTTCTGAAGCCAGGTCCCCAAGACTGCAGTGAGGTAAAACATGACTGCAGCAGCCTGGTAGCTTACTCTGTTCAAAACAGTAAGCCATGTGGAACCACAAAAATAAGAAAGAATCAAAGTGGTTTCTTAGAACAGCATACAAAATGAGCCCAGGCAGAAATTTTACTTCCCTGAAAAATACTAATGCAATTTTGTTTTTCTGATTATAAGAATAAGATATAACTAAAAATTCAAACATGATAAAAAGCTCAAGGCCCCTATAATTCTACCCAGAGATAGCCAGTTTTAGCATTCTTCTTTTCTCCAGAATACTTACTTATATCTGTTTAGAAATACTATGCTAGACTCTAAATCCAAAGAAAAGACAGACCATCAGGACACAATGTAATTCACATAAGCCATAAATGCAAAAGTAATGACAAAAAGTGAACAAAAGAGATGAAATTTTTGAAATCAGATTTCTTTTATATTAGGGTACTTTATTTAAATCAGTTACATAATCTCTACATTCCCTAACAACTTCATCCAGTCACAACACAGTACAGGTTTTAAGATCTACTTCAAGAATATTTGGCTTAGGTTGTGCGTGTGGCTCAGTGGTAAAATTCTGGCCTTGCGTGCATAACACCTTGGGTTCAATCCCAGCACACCCACATTAAAAAAAAAAAAAAAAAAGGTAAGAAAGGAAGGATATCTGGCTAACATAATCAGCAAGAAAAAAACCAAGAAAATGTAATTTAGTTTTGTACTTTACCTGCTGGGCATAAAAGGTGGCTACATGCTTCCTGCCCATCCGATATGCCTCCTTTGCCTTGCTGTAGCACTCTATTCTCCTCTGCTGGTGCAAGAGGGCCTCAGCCCTGTAGTCATCATACCTGGGGTACTGAAAGTCCTGGAAAGAGGACTCACTCAAGGTATCTTCAGCTTCCTTTGATTTCTTTGCCTGGAAGATGAGTCAAATAATATACAAGAAAGAAAAAACTACCTGGCTTATCATCAGAAAATGCAAATGGGCTCTCTTAATATTTCACCTTCTTAGAAAACAGATTCTAAGCCAGTGTCTTATAAGTCAGGCACTTACAGACTACTGCCAGCTCTTTCATGTCATTATTGTTATCTTTTCTTTAACACCCTTATATGAGAATATGTTGAAGAGTTCTTTAAAGTTGTCAACAGATAATTAGATCACAAAAATCAAGCCAGAATACGGCATATAAGATGGTCAAAGAAACCCATCCAGTGCAGAAATTCCAAATTTTCATACTTGGCAAATCTATTCAAAAGTTTCAGTCACTGACAGTAGTAATGACATATTTCAATTTATATTAGAAGACCTTGTGGAGTTACTATGACCAGCAGCTAATAAAAATCATAAGCATGTTTATGGGATAGTTTCAATCAGGTAACTAATTACCACTTGGGACTCTGATCAGTTTACTGTTTCACAATTTCAATTATCTTTTAAAAAGCTAACATGAAATTATCACTCAAAATATCTTTTAAAAAACAAAAGTCACTCTATAATACAAAGCACATACTAATGAAAATAGCCATGCAAATTGCTTCTGTGTTCTTCACCAAATAGGAAAACTAGATTTTTTTAAATATTTTAAGACAGTGGGCTGGTGAGATGGCTCAGTGGTCTAAAGCACCAACTTAGAACAAGCTAAGCTAAGTAAAGCACAGAGACCACGGTTCAATCCCCCAGCACCACATGCCAGCCAGCCTCGCCCCCTGGTGGGCTGAGCTGGACACACAAAATAAATAAATAAATAAATAAATAAAAATTTAAAATAAATATTTTAAGACAGTATATGCAAATATCTATAGAATATCAAAAGCCAAAGGTAAAAACATGTATAGTGATTTGCAAATCAAATCTAGCTTTTCATTTACCCCTTTCTCCAATTCACAGAGCAAATGTCTCTTAGCTTGACATAAGAAGGACAAAATTAACATAATTTAAGTTATTTCCAACACACTAAAGCACCTGCTTAGGCAGACGCAGGGACCAGAGCTTGACCCCCGGCATGCCGTGCCAGCACCCCCTGGGGTGCACTAAGACCTTGATTGAGACTGGGTGTGGTGGCCCATGCCTGTAATCACAGCACTTGGGAGGCTGAAAACAGGAAGATCACTACAAGCCCAATCTACATAGTGAGACCCTATAGATCCTGTATTAAATACATTTTTTTTAAAAAAAGTTATTTCCTTAAAAATCTGAGAAGTCCAAGAAACAAATGTCATGTAAAGTAATTTAATAGTAATTTAATCATTATTTTAAGAACAGTGGCAGGCGAAAAAAAACTGTAATTTTTTTTCTTTCTTTTTTGGTAATTTTCAATATTGTAACAAATCATGCTTTCTTTAATATGAGTAACCAAAAGTAAATTTAAATAGTATAGGTTAAAACTCAACATAAAAATCAGTATTAAAAAAAATCAACAATGAATTAGCTGAGAAAGCAATCAGGAAATTCCATTCACAATACATTTTTAAAAATGTTATTTTTTTTAATTTATTTTTTTCCATAATTTTATTGATAAACAAATAGCAATGAGACAGTTTCAAATCAAATTGGTGGGACAATTTCAATAATTAACACATTGAATACATTCCTCCCAGTGGTTAACTGCTGTACAAGATGCGGACATGATATCCTATCTACAAACATCATTAGAACAAATCCCTCTATTCATTAAGAGAATGTAACTATATATCTATCCTAACCACTTTGAGTACACAGATACAAAATGGATATTCATCTGTATCCCTTTTTTTGTTAAGTTCCGTTATTTGAATATTATAGGTATGTAAACTCAGCAAAATATTCTAAAAGAGTCCAGTAGCCCATATCTTCCGCTTGACTGGCAATGTCAGAAATTGTTGACCTGAGTCCCCTACAGCTCAACATAACACCATGGCTTTACTTCTTATATTTCATTTTTATACTTTTCTGCTGGATGGTTAAGACCAAGGTAAAGCAGGACCTATGCAACAAGAGTTGTAGCTTTTGGGTCTGATAAGGTCAGTGAAATCCCCTCAGGATTTATCCTGAGATCCTGTACCTCAGATTGTTTGTCATTGTCAGCCATATGGATGAGTCACGGCCATTGCTTGGCCAATGTGCTCTCTATGAAAGCCTGAGAATGTTTTCTCTCCATGTGACTGTCCTTAGGCACACTCTACATCATCGATCACTTTCCTCTTTGGCCCCATAATCTCCTTGATCAGAAAATTTGGGACACTGCCGAGTTACATGACGTTACAGTGCAAGTTCTCATATGTCCTGAGTCTTAAGTGACCTTGGAAGGCTAGGGCCAAAATATTGGCTTTCTTTGCAGTCCTCCTTTTCATCTAATTTTGGTCTGCAAACTTAGGTTGTTAACCATCCAGAAGACAAGCTTATTGTTATTACCATACAACTTAGGCTGTTAAGGTTAACCTCACTATCTGTCTGCATATCAAACATCTTAGGCATAATATGGAACAGGTATTTTTCCTCAAGTATTGATATGTTGAACTTTAAGTCCCTACAGAATATGCTAAAAAAAATTTAAAATCAGAATATATTTTAAAAATAGGCATAAAGAATTATATACTTCTTATGTTTACACATAAGTCCAAAAATCTCACCATATACAACCTTGAAGCAGGACAGTCCCACAATATTCCTTTTCCTGTCTCTTGCTTTCATTCACCACCCCCTTCTTTTTGAACAACCATCTACCCGAGAGACATCATAGCAGCAACTGGCATATCATGGCAAGCAGCCCGTAAAAATGTTAATTATTGAAACTGTCCTACCAATTTGGTTTGAAACTGCTCATTGCTATTTGTTTCTCAATAAAATTATGGAAAAAAAAAAAACCTAGAAATCAACCTAAGCAAGGAGACAAAAGACCTTCACAATGAAAATAATAGAATTCTAAAGAAAAAAAATTAAAACATTACAAATGAAACGACTTCTTATGCTCATGGTTCAGCAGAATCAACATAATGGCCACATTACCAAAAGCGATCTACATATTCAATACGCTCTCTATCAAAATTCCAATGACATTCTTCATAGTAGGAAAAAAATCCTAAAACTCATATGGAAACACCTAAGATCTAGAGTAGCCAAAGTAATCCTAAGCAAAAAGCCAAAGCTGGAAGTATCAAAATACCTAGTTTCAAATTATAGTACATTGCCACAGTAGTAAAAATAACATGCTATTGGCACAAAATAGAGAAAACCAATGAAACAGAAGATACGTAAACAAATGTGTGCAACTAAGTATTATACATTGCAAATTTCCACCTGATGAGATCAGGCGCATTCAGGGTGGTATGGCCATAGACGCAAATTTCCATCTGATTCTTGGAGTCAAAAACGTTCACTAAAGACAACTTCTGTCCTAGTTTCTTTTTCTCATTACTGAGACAAAACAACTGGCACCCAAAGTTAAAGGAGGAAAGATTTATTTTTGGCTCACAGTTCATAGAGGTCTCAGTCCATAATCAGCTAGCTGCAAGACAGGGTGGCATGGTAAAGAGGCATCTCAGAGGAGAAACAGTTCATGCAAGTAGAAGGCAGGAAGGCAGCAAAGCAGCAAGTCAGGACAGCAGCTCAAGTTTTTGGTCCCTTACATTACATCTAGGCTATATACCCTCAGGGCAGATAACACTCACATCGAAGGAGGGCCCTACCATTATCCACACCCTAAACTATGCCAAATCAATGAGTGGACTGATTTAGTATTAACTCCCAGCATCACACACTCGAGATCCAGCTGCCTCTGAAAAAGCCCATCTATAACCACATGAAGCTTTGGGGAGACATCTAGACCCAACCATAACAGCCTCTTTCATAAACAGTTTTAGGGGGGGAAAAAAAAGTTTTAGGGAAACTGGATGTCCACTTGTAATAGAGTAAAATTTGATCTTTCTCACCCTTTACAAAAATAAATTCAAAATGGATCAAAGACCTAGGTATAAGACCTGAAACTTTGAAACTGCAAGAAACAAACATTGTTTGAGGTATATGTACAATGATTCCCTATTAGAATTCCAGTAATAGGAAACAATAGCAAGAATCAATAAATTACATTAAACTAAAAAGGTTCTGCACAGAAAGAAAAACAATCCACAGAGTGAAGGGACAACCTAGAGAATGAGAGAATATCTTTGCCTGTTACTCTTGTGAAAATGAAATTAGTATCTATAATATATAAAGAACTCAACACCAAAAGAATCTAATTAATGTCCAAATGAATTGAACAGACACTTCTCAGAAAAAGAAATACAAACAAGGATATGAAAAAATGTTTAAGATCTTTAGCCATTAGAGAAATACAAATCAAAACTACTGAGAAATCAGGCATAACAGCACATGCTTGTAATCCTAGCACTTGGGAGGCTGAGGCAGGAGGATCACTGGGAGCTCAAGACAACCTGGGCTACAAAGTAAGCAAAGGCCAGCATGAACTGCATTGTGTCTCAAAAAGACCAAAAAACAAAAACAACAACAACAAAAAAAACCCAGCTATACTGAGTACAGGTAGCACACTCTATAATCCTAGCATTAAGGAGTATGAAGGAGGAAGATGTTGAATTTGAGTCCCAGGGGAATTCAAAGCCAGCCTAGACTTCAGTGAAAGCCTGTCTTCAAAAAACAAAACTACACTGAGTTTTTATCTCACTCCAGTGATAATGACTTTCATTAAAAAAAAAAAATGCATGTAGTAGAGGATGTGGGGGGCTGTAATGCTAAAAGACAGGAAAGCAGAAGGGAGACTATTATCAAATAAAAGGGAGAAATGGCAAGGATGGAGAGAGGTATAAGGGCAAGAGATGGAGAGAGATATAAGAGAGGTTAACAGGGTAGGTGGATACGATCAAAATATATGCATGTATGAAAACATCATTGAAACTATTACTTTGTAAATTATTTTTCATTCCTGGGGACCTTTCATTACTAGGGTCCTCTGTACTGAACTATATTACTAGCCTCTTTTATTTTTTGAGACAGGATAGTTCCTACTTACAATCTTCCTCCCTTAGCCTCCCAGAATGCTGCGATTACAAGTATGCATCACTGCACCCAGCTCAATATTTTGTAAAACAGATACTAATGAAAAATGTTTAATTAAAAAATTTAAAAACAAAATTCAGAAAATTGAAAATCATCAATTTATATAGAAGTACTATTGCTGGGCACATTGGTGCACCTGCAATCCCAACACTCAGGAGGCTCAGGCAAGAGGACCACTGCAAATTTGAAGCCAGCTTGGATTACACAGTGAACTCAAGGCCAGCCTGAACTACACAGTGAGACTCTGTCTAGAAAGGGAGCGAGGGAGGAGTATCAAAGATTAAAATCTTTCACATCTTCCTGGGAACAGTTCAGAAGCCAAGAAAGAGTAAAGAAAACTAGCCTAATATATAATAGTACTTGGTTATTTAATTTCTTCCCTCATTTTGATTACTTAGACCCTAGAACTCTGTTCAGGGTCTCACTACTAGATCAGATTCGTAGTGATCCGCCTGTTTACAGCCTCCCAAAAGCTGGGATTACAGGAGCGGTTGCTACCATGCCCAGTTTCTACTGCACTCTCAGCTCGCCCCAGGGGCAGGGCCGGCACTGTAGGCCCAAGTATCAAATCCCCAGCCCCTGCTCGCAGGCTAGAACTCTATTCCTTAGACCTGCGTTATTAGTTTTATTTTCTTAATGTATTTGGTACAGGGTCTTACAGCTTGAACTTGAACTCAAGTGATCCTCCTGTTTTCAGCCTCCCCAGCGCTGGGATTACAGGCGTGCACCACCACACCCAGTCTCCTAGAACTCTAAAGACTTGAAAAAATTAAAGGACATTAAATTAAAAAATAAAGACATCACTATACTCTATCAGAAACTAAAATCTGTAAATCAATTTATTTTTGCCACAAATACACAGCTTATTTTATGGAAAAACACATAATACCAGAATCTTTTATGTAAGAATATTCACAGAACCATCTCCTATGTCATTCAGTAGTGTTTAGTCACAGCTAGTTTTTACTGATGTTCAGATATTCCAGAAGTGTACCTTGTGCCTTCTTAATAAAATCCAAGATTTTGGGAAGGGTAATAATAATGTTTTAACTTTTGAAAATTGCCATACACCTGCTAATACTATGAACATACTAAATATTTTATTATATATGGGATTCCATATCTATTCAAATTAAAAAATTTTGATTTTGTGAGAGAAGATATCCTTCATTTTTTGTGCTTAAAGAAAAAAAAGGGGCTGGAGAGATGGCTCAGTGGTCTAAAGCACCTACTTGGAGCAAGCTTGGCAAAGCACAGGGACCGCGGTTCGATCCCCAGTACCACATGCCAGCCAGCCGCGCCCCCTGGTGGGCTGAGCTGGCCACACACACACACACACACACACACACTAAATGTTAAAAAAAAAAATTTAAAAAGAAAAAAAAGTAATTTCTACATAGGAGTTGTAGGAATTTAAGAGCTGTCACCCACACTAGATATTAAAGAAAAATACAATCAGCTATAGTTTCCAATCTAGTCAAGTGGTAAGAAATAAGGTGTGGTGCCCCTCACTTATAGCACTCTGGGAGCTGGGGTAGGAGGATCACAGTTGAAGTCCAGAGTGGGAAACACAGACATACCCTATCTCAAACTAAAACATGTTGGGGTTAGGGGATGGACAGGGATGTAGCTCAGTGCAAAGTCCCTAGGTTCAATGCCTAGTACCACCAAAAGCCCCTGAAAAATAATCGTTAAATTATTATGCTCAACAAACAAATCCTATTTTTATACACAGCTGTCTACCATTATAGTAAAAAATAAGTAATTTCATACCTTTTTTTCTTTAGACTTCTGTGAAGTGTGAGAAGTGACAGTCTCATTTTGGTGAACAAACTCTTGAGCTACAACTGTTTTTACGGGGTCTCCTTCAAGAACACAGTTTAGAAACTGCACTGTTTGTTCTAATGAATAGCTGTAGAAAGTTTAAGTAAAAATGCATGAATAAATAAAAACAAGAACATATGTGGAGGTTTAAACTTAATCTTCAAACATTGAATAATAATATGAAAAACTGACTTCTAAGTTTTCAAAATTGAAATTAAATGCTCTTTGCATAATTCAGAGCCAAGAATGACATGAAAGAAACTAATAAGTAACAGGCTTCCAAAAACTAATTATTCAAAATGAATACCAAAAAGTACTATCATGTGCCAAGAATAGTAGGAAAGGTTGACCAATGGGTATTGAGCTACAGATACACAGGAGCAAGAAGTTATTATGTACAGGAGGATGATCATAGATATCAATAATGTACCATAAATTTCAAAAGCTAGACGGTTTGGAAAGTTTCTATCATAAAGAAATAATAAATGTTTGAGGAGACAGTGCCTAATCTTAAAGATTTCACGATGTGTAAGTGCACTGAAACACATTATGCCATTAACATGTACAATTTTATGTTTCTGTGCCCATTAATACAAAATATACATGATGGGGTGAGGCCCAAGATTCAATCCCCATCACAAACAAAAGTTGCACTGGTAATTCAATTTTTGCTTTTTCTCTCCCTCCCTCCTTCTCTCCTTCCCTCTTTCCCCCTCTCCCCTTCCCTCTCCCTTCCCACTCCCCCCCACCGTTCATTCTTTTGTTCTTTCTTTCTTTCTTTCTTTCTTTCTTTCTTTCTTTCTTTCTTTCTTTCCGTACCAAGGATTGAACTTGGGACATTGCACTTGCCAGGCAGGCACTTAAGCCACTGAGCAACCTCCCAGGCCCTAGAAATTCAATTTCTGATCTTTTAGTCAAGGTAGAGTAACCACACACACACACACACACACACACACACACACACCCTTCTACTGTATCATCTATACTCAAGTCCTTTATTGTATTTATACATGGCTTCTTTCAATTTCCTAAAAAACAAAGAAAAGAAAGAGGGGGCTTGGGAAATGGCTCAGTAGGAA